CTGCAAAAGTGTGTGTCTTCGTGTGGAATCCGGGGTGTTTGAAGTATAGGAACCTTAGGCGGCGGCGCTGCCGCGCTTCCCAAGCGGCGCACTATCCAGTGCGCCACCAGGCCGGCCCAAATATTAGTCTTCTATTTTTTTTTTTTTTTTTTTTTGTCCTTTTTGAGACCGGCTGCACCGCGCTCAGCCAGTGAGCGCTGTGAGCGCACCGATCATCCCTATATAGGATCCAAACCCGCGGCGGGAGCGCAGCGCTCCCAGCGAGCGCCGCACTCTCCTGAGTGCGCCACGGGCTCGGCCCTGGTTTTAAAGTTAAACCTATACGTGTATGTATATATAAATATTAGTTTGAGCTTATTAACTGTTATTCAGATCTTCCATGTCTTTGCTTGTATTTAATCTGCTTCATCCATCAGTGTCTGAGAGGAATGTATTAGAAATTTTCATGTGTAATTGTTGATTTTTCTACTACTTCTTATTCTGTCATTTGGTTATTTCATGTACATGTATATAGATATAGATGTTTATTTGAGGATATATTAATTATTAGGTACACAGTTGTTTATAATCATACTGATCATTTTACCAGAATATGTTTTTTGCCTTGGGGAAAAAAAAAATTTTTTTTTTGGAGTAGCTTCCTCAACTTTCTTTCAGTTTATATTTGCCATCCATTTGTTATCAACCTTTCAATATATTTTGTTTTAGGTATGTGTCTAGTAGCTAACATGTCTTATCATTTTTTAAAATCAAATACAAGAGTCCCTACCTTTAATTGGTGCATTTAGAAAACTTATAAATGTATTGATTATTGCTCTATTATCCTTTTTGCCATCTTATTTCATATTTTCTTTTAACTATACTTTTTCCCTTTATTTTCATTTCCCATCTACTATCGTATAGATAAGAATTTTCTTCTTCTGGCTTGAGAATTATATATTCTATCTTCATCCTACTGGTGATTGTCCCTAATTTATTAACACCCCTAGGTTTATCAGTACCTCTGTCTTCTCACTTAACTCATTCTCACTGCCATCCTCTTTCCACCCTACATACTACTGTATTGGTATATACATTTTTACTTTAGGATTGCCTTAAATATGTATTTTTGTTGTTTTATGGTCCTGGCTTTTGTATACAAGATTGAAATTACTGTATTATATCTCTTTATTTCTTTTCTCACTGGAGTACTTCCTCCTGGGGCATTTTTTGAAAAGATATTCATGTGGTAAAGACATTTGAGAACTTGTATAGCTGAGAATGGTTTTATTTCTTTCTAATATTTAAATCATAGTATAGCTGAATATAAAAATGTATAATCAGAGTTCTCTTCCTGCAACACTTTGAAAATATTCATTATTTTCTTGACTCTCGTGTTGATACTTTGAGAAAGAAGATGATATTAATCTGCTTCTTGTTCCTTTGGAAATATGTCCTTTTTCACTGGAATCTTTTAGCAGTTTTTCTTTGGCCTTAAATCTAATGCCGAAAAATGTGACTACGTGTGTTTTTTCTTTACGCATCATATTTGGGACAATGAGCCCCTCTATTCTGTGGTCTTTAATTTTTCTTTAATAATGGCAGATTCTCGGCCATTATTTCATCAAGGATTTCCTTTTTATTTTCTCCTTCAGAGACTCCTATTATATAGGTGTTGACATTTCTACCTCTATCCTCTTTATTGCTATGCTTTTTCTTGTTTGTTTGCACTTTCCATTTCTTTAACCCGATCTTTCAGGTTACTGTTTTGTTTTTTAGTCACATGTTCTATTCTTTTTAATCTATCTGTTAAAGCTCAGGATAAAGGTTAAGAATAATGCTTTATGAATTTTTTCAGTTTCCTCATCTATAGAATGGTGATAATAATACCAATCTTATAGAATTGTTTTTGAGGATTAAGTGATTTAATCCGTGTGCAGTGCTTAGCACAATGCCAAGTCTGTTGTGAGGGCTGCTTTTATTTTTCTCAACAATTATGTTTTCCATACCTAGTATTTCTCTTTGGTTATTCTTATAACTGCTTGTCCTTGCTTCATGTTACTAATAAAAATTCATTATCTTTTCTAGAATATGTATTATGTTTATTTAACAGTCTTATGGGCCGGCCTGGTGGCGCACTGCTATAGTGCGCCGCTTGGGAAGCACGGCGGCGCTCCCGTCCGAGGGTTCGGATCCCACATACAGACCGGCTCCCGCTCACTGGCTGAGCGAGGCGCGGGAGCAACACCGAGGGCTGCGATCCCGTTGCCGGTCCCGGTCCGGTACGGGGGCAACACTGAGGGTTGCGATCCGTTGCCAGACACGGAAAAAGACAAAAAA